TTTCAGCATCAGCAATATACATACCATCAACAACAGTTTCAACGTCACCAATAGGTACATCATCAACAATAGTTTCAACGTCAGGAATAGTCACACCATCAACAACAGTATCAACGTCAGTAATAGCCGCATCATCAGCAATAGTTTCAACATCAGCAGTAGTTACACCATCAACAACAGTTTTAACATCAGCAATAGGTGCACCGTCAACAACAGTTTCAACGTCAACAGTTGTCACAACATCACAAAATAGTAGTTCAACTAATACAATAACAAAATTATCATCAACAAGCGCTACAGGCTCTCTATCAACAACTTATTCATTTGCAACCCGTAATTTGAATTCACAATTATTAGTATTATTATTTTGTTCCATTATGATTTTTATCAACAATTAATTTTTCATTTTATTTATTCATTAATCTCTTTCTAATGCTTTCAATATATTTATAATTCATTTGCTTTTTGTCTAGTCAATGAACTGAACTTGCTACAAATTTTATAATCGTTTTATTTATTCAACTGACAAGACTAAGTCTGCATTGCTTATTTGATTTTATTTCGGTGACGAGCAAAACAATCAGCTAATTCGTAACAATTTAACAGACAAATCTTTTTTTTTCTTAAGTTCATAATATATTTTATTCTCATATAATTGAATTCACTGAAGTTTTATTGTTTTTAATATTAAATATTTGATGTTGTGCATATCAAGAGTGATTTTCCTAATAAACTATCTGCTTTCTATGTCTAACTGAATATTAGAATATATCGAATTATCTCTAAAAATTGTTAGAAACTGACTAGATATGAAATGAATGTTTTAGTAAGAGAACTATATCCACATGCATGTTATCACGTATATTTTTTTCATTGATTTGTAACTAAAATCTTTTATTTGAAATATGTGTGTATTTGAAAAAAAAATGTAATAATATAACTCCTTTATTTATTTATAAAACCCATTTTTGAAGTTGGTGTGGATGAGGATCAATGGGTTGTGAAAGTGAATTCGTGCCATGTTTCACTGACAGTCATACTTACACTACGCTCACACCCGCTTTGTCATTTTTGTTTAGATCTTATTGAAGAGATAAATTGAATACTGTTGTATACAATATTTTTTTCTTTTCTTTTCGCCACGTGAATACACCCACAAAGAATTGATGTATTTTAGAGAAAAAGAAAAATTAGAGAAAGTTCTTTTTTTTACTTTGTAACGTCGTCGCAAAAGTATTTTATATAAGATAAATCTCTAAAATATGACGGAAGTGAAAATGTAAAACGTAACATACTTGTTGAAATAATTAAACTAAAGATCAATCAAAATATATTTTACTTATAGATTTCTATTATACTACGGGTGTAATAATTATTTAATTCTAATGGATTGGAATATTTCAAATTGGTAAATATCGATGATCGGACAGTCAACAACGAATTTCCCATGATACATTATCTTGCTGCTTATTTAATATGATATATTACACTATGTAAACTTGAATTTTTCGTTGACAAGGCTTGGGTACACTATCTCTTCAAAACATAATTGCTAATTTTTCGATAAATATATAAAACAAAATTTTCCGCTTAAAGATAATACTAGATTTGTATTATTCAGCAATAAAAAAAGTCTGCTTGTCATTATGCATAATATCTAAACTAAAATAGTTGTATATAGTAAGAAAAAAAAACAGACATATACTGTTCCTATATTTATTTTTCCTTGAAATCAAAACAAAGATAAACGTTCATCAAATTCATTATTTTTCTTCCAATCATTTTCAGTAAATCCATTTGGGAAACTGGAACTTTTTTGTAATAATAAATTTAATTCTATATCAGATGATATGGATGTTTTATAATGAAAAATTTTTTTACATTGAATTATTTTTGTTGTCTTAGACATATCTAAATGTATACCATAAACAAGTGAATTAATTGTTATTTGAATTTGTTCTAATTTTATTTTAATATCATTGGCTTCATTTGTATCAACCATTTGTTTTGTATTATAAAGTCTATAACTAATTCGTTGTAATTGATAAAATTGTTTTTGTTTAAATTTATTTAATTGTTCAATAAGTTCTTGACGTATTGAACGAAGATGAAGAATTATATCTGATGAATATGTATTATTATTTGATGATAATTGTTCTAATGCTTGATTATAACATTGCTCAATACTCATTGAATGAAGTTTACGATATAATTGTTGAAGAATTTCATAAAATGATAAATGACGTTCAAGAATCGTATCATGATGAATTATAATATGATTTAAACAGAGTGATTGTTGACAATCATAACATAAAGCACAGCATAGATTTATGCAATTAACTTCTTTACATGTCATGCTTTATTTGAGAATAGAAGAACAGTAAATGATTCTAATGTTTATCATGTCCTCTGTTTTTATTTCTTTTCTTTGATATTATATATATATCTCTTCGATCACGAGGAAAACTATAGAAATGAAGAATGAGTCATCATATTAAAATATTCGTCAGTGCAAATCACTTCCTAATATCGAAATACTTGTTCGAAGATTTATTACAAATTTATCATAAATATTCGAATGAGTTTTTGATATGACAAAAAAAAATATTTATTATTAAGATTGCGCCATAGCAATTCTTATATCAATAGATTTACGATAATATTGATGTCTTTTGTGTAATAGAATCATTTTAATTAGAAGACAAAAATTAATTATAATCATACTATAAGAAATCAGGATTAATAATGTTGATGCCCAATATAATATAACAGCACAATGAATTTCTGGTGGTATTCGAGATGCAAGACGAAATGCCATGATACTTATAATAATTCTAGATATAATTAAATAGATCAATAAAAAAAATGTTAAAAATAGATTCCATTTATTTGGTCCATCATAAGCATCATAACGATGGATTATTAAAGCCATTGTACTTAAAATAATACCTATTATACCAGTTATACCTAATGTAGTTGATAAATAAGGTGATGCTGGACATTGATCGTGGTAAACAGCAAATAAAAGGACATGACATATGGAAATTGCAAGTAGCATAAGTTGATTAATATATGAAATTGTTTTGAGCATCTCTTGAAAAATCGATAGTAGAGTAATAAAGCCGGAATATTATCTATAATATTGTCATAAACATTTCCTAAAATTTTTATGATATATGTTTACTATTTGATTTAGCTTAATCAATTGATTATATTAAATCCTTATAGTTTTATTTGCACCAGCAAACAAAAAGAAGAGAAACATCTTGTTCGATGTCAATGATGAAGTACTTTTTAATTACATTTTTAAAAAGTAAAGAATTATTCAAGAGATCAAAGACAGTTTACTTCTAACTGAACGATAACGTCAATGAGCAGTCGTCATTATAATGAGATATACGGAAATGACTGTTGCAGATTCTCAACGATCCAAACTTAAAAATAGAATAATAACAGAAATCTCTTACAATGGAAGAGCTCACGGTATATCTTACAAATATAGATCTTTTACCGACAATTTTTTTTACGATGTTTAGATGACAGTTGCTTTTTAGCGGCTGCTCGGTATCCTTGACGTACCAGATTGTTAGATATGTAAAGAATTAAGTTAGAGAACGTGTAGATTATCGTTTAATTTTTTCCAATCAAAAGCAGTATATTTACAGGCCGAAAGAATACACGAATACAGTAATACAAAAAAAGACGAATATAGCATACTTGAGATAGGTATACTTCACTTGACAAACCCACATAGTTTGATTGAAATCTAGAATCTAAGGTATCTGGAAGACCTTTTAGTGGAAAACTTTTGAGATATATTATATTATAGACAATAACAAATGTCATCGGGAATTATGCATACTCATTTATTATCCGTTAATATCATATTCAGCCAATGAAATGAATAAGATCTAGTAGATAACAACCCACAAATACAATACATGAGATATACTGTTGATAAAAGCGAAGTATTATTAGAGCCATATAATTTAATAAAGAAAAAACAATCTCACATCAGTCATTAAGTACAAAACGAAGTTTGAAATCGCCTACTATTGGCATAATACAATAGATATTATCTTATTAATTTAATAGCTGTTATCCTAATTGATACATCTTCAATGTTTATTTTTATACAAAATTTTTAACTATTTTTTGTTTCTTTTCGTAAGTTAAATTTCATTTGTACCAAGAGAAAAGAAA